AAAATGTTCCTATTAGTTTTCTTTAAATATATATTACACACGTCAGACTACGGCTTCACCTGCATGATGTTCTGCAGTCCAGGTTGTAGGCTGCTCAGATATTCTCTCTTCTGCTCAATGGCCTTCTGAATCTTCTCCTTACTGGTCAGAGACGTCTTATACTGCTCCGCCAACCTGCGTTATGGATGTTTAATGATGTTGTTGAAGATTTAGAGGTATTTGAGGGCAGTGGAGCATCGCTGATGTGCGTTACCTCTTCCTCTGCTCTAGTTCCCAGTCCAGGCGTGCGAGCGTGAGCTGGTGCTGATCGTCGCGCGTGACGTGAGGGCGTGAGATCTCAGCCGGAGCCTCCTGGAAGAACTCCTCCTCACTCACCAGCTCGATTTCCTCATGCTGAGACCTGGAACGCAGAGACGTTAAAGGGAGACTTCACCTCTGGAATTGTGAATGGTGTATTTAAAATGGGTCATTTATGTAGAAGAAATGTGACATTATTTTTGAATTTGGAGCTTTTTTAGACCGAGAAAAGCCAGAAAATGTATTTGTGGCTTATGTGGATGAAAGACAACAACTCCCAGAATGCACTTGCTTCGCTGCCCTAGGAGGCCACGCCTACCGGTAACAGAGCGCAGTCGTTAAACAACAAGTCTAGGCTACTAGTGATGAGTCTGCCCGAAAATGTGTTTCGAGGTCGCCCGAAATGTCCGGGATTGGGCTTTTGCGTTCTAAAGTCGCCATTTATCATGTTTACTGTGGCGAGCGGGAAACGCACATCAACTTATCACTTGTTTAGCATTCATGTAAACACTACGTTCAGATTCACCAATCGGATTGAATTCAGTTAGATTGAAACAAAAGCTGCGCATGTAAACAATGAATGGCGACTGCAGAAAGCAAAAAGAGGGAAAAAGAGGATGGGAACCACTACTACTCAGCTTTGTCCACAGAACAAGAGCCTGTTAGCTTTAGCTTAGCTTCCACAAAAAAGATAGCTGACACTATGTGTAATCCCAATCCTCCATAATGCATCCGTCTGCGTATTCAGTACCTTCATCCATATTTTCAAAAAGTTTCTGGCGTTGATCTGTGATAGGTCTGTTAGGCCGTGTGTCCACCAAAGCGTTTTTAGCTAGCTAGAAAAAATAACTCTAGAGAGGAGCATTTTGCTAAATATATAGGCTACACCATATTATGCATTATAATCTTAATGTTTTTCAATATTTAATGCATATTTGAATAAATCTGGCAATTTTTTATGACAGCCACCATTTAAATGTTTATAGGCTATTTCATATAATCTTTTATTATACAAATAAATAATAGTGTAATTTAAGTGTTTGTATAGTTCATTATTACCTTCATATTAGGCTAATGAAGCCCAACTAGACTCCCATAGTTTACAGCATTAGTTCAGAGATTTGATTCCCTTGAGAAAATTAGCCATTTATTGCAACTGATATCCAAAATAATCAATATTGAATCAAATCGGAATCGAAATCGAATCGAATTGTGAAATTTGTGTCAATACCCAGCCCTATTCAATAGTATGACTGGGTTTCTAACAATGGAAAGCTTAATGCAAATGGGTGGAGTGTCCCTTTAACATCTGCTTAACACAGTTAAGAGTTTTGGGATACGATAAACGGCACGTAATCGAGTACATCCACGTATTGTTCCAGTCCTAGAAAAATGTTTATTCACTCTAGACATTTTCAGGCCTGGAAATACATTTTAAAGTTCACTCACTTGAACTCAAGACATTTTCCGATCTCTTTCTGCAGGTGCATGACCTCATAGAGCAGATTCTGCAGCTGCAGGTGAAGGACGTCCACTCGCTGCTTCGCCTGCGGACACAGAGGAGTGATGTGGGCTGAAACAATCATTGATCAAGCATTGAATAAAGCAAGCGTGCGAGTATCAGATCCGTGTTCACCTCATGTGTCTGGTCTCGGCCTTTCTTCAGTCGCATGTGTGCCAGGCGGTTGAGTTTCTTCAGGGTAATGAAATGAACGCTGCTCTGTCTGCGTCTCTGCTCGATCTCGGCACTCTAGGATGCATAAAGCAAACGATCAGTTCCATTTCATTGCATTGTCCGATTCAGACACATGGCAACTGTGAAACTCACTCCGTCTTTCACGCCGCCGGCTTTCAGCTCCTGGATTTCCGCCATGAGTTTGGCCAGAGCGGCACACGTGTCCTTATACAGCATGTAGTCCTGCTGCGGGTCTCTGCCCTCCAGCTCCACCTCCTCATTATACACACGGACCTCCTGAGGGACACACACACACACAGAGTGACCAGAGAACACACACACACACAGCCCTGCCTACCAGCTTAACAAGATCTGTGAGCCAACAATGAAACTACAAAACCGTGAGATATGAGCCTCCTCACCCGTGCAACAGAAAAGGTGTCGACAGCGGAGCAGATCCAAAATGGTCGAGCACAGTAACTGAATATTTTAATGTATAACATTAAAATACCAAATATTATTATTATTATTATAACAACTCATTTTATACATTTAAAATGTGTACAATAATAATAATAGTATCATTGCTAATAATAATAATAATAAAACATGTATTATTATACTATAAACTAGGTATGGGCAACGATTAATCGCATCCAAAATAAAAGTTTGTGTTTACATAATATATGTGTGTGTAGTGTGTATAATTAATTTGTATATATAAATACCCACACATGCATGTATATATTTAAGAAAAATGTGTTATTAATATGTCAAATATTTATATTTATATATAATATTAATTGTGAATAAATATATATAAAATATACACATGCACATATTTCTTAAATATATACATGCATGTGTGGGTATTTATATATACAAATTAATTATACACACTACACACACATATATTATGTAAACACAAACTTTTATTTTGGGTGCGATTAATCGTTGCCCATCCCCACTATAAACAAGTATTTTTGTTATAATGACGATAAACTGCATAACTGATAGTTTAGTTGTATTAGTTTATATAGCACATTTAATAACGACCAAAGTGCTGCACAAAAGTAAAAACGTAAAACAAATAACAGAATAAAACAAATTATTGTTGATAATTTTGTAAGAATTAATTAAAATTAATATTAGATGTTAAAATATTTCTTTTAATTATTGCTTTTAATAATTATATATATATATATATATATATATATATATATATATATTATGTACATACTTCTTTTGTTATATTAAATATTTCTGCTGACTTGCAATACATATATATCAAGATTATGTCCTCCGAAATATACTGTCAGTTTATTTATAACATTAATATTGTATGTTATTCATACAGAACATACATTTTAATCTCCTGTTTTATTGTTTGCCATTTGTAAAATAAAATGGCTAAATTACAATACTCATTGACATTTGGTGCTCAATAAGTGTTCATTTTGGACCCTGCCGCTGTCAGAGAGAGAGAAGGAGGGGGAGAGAGAGACAGAGCTCATAGGAACCTGATGCTTTGCTGTAAACAGCTTCCTCTGTCCGATAAGATGAGGTCCGGCGGGAATCTTGACCTACATACACACGCCACATGAGTCTCACGTCAACATATCAGCTCACTGGAGCTCATCTGAACACAACTCATGAAAGAAACACATCTGAAGCCTAAATGAGAGGAACGTTCTGGATTGTACCTTCTCCTGCCTCAACCTGACCTTCCTGAACTGTGAACTGACTGCACTCAGCTGCACACGAGAGTTATTGGAGAAAAAGAACGAGTGGAGGGTTAGTGGACGGCTCTGCTGAAATCATCTCGAATGCATTTCACAGACGCTCACCTGATCGCTCTCTCCTCGCCCGCGCTTGGCTTCTGGAGTCCCTGCTTCGCTTCGGATGACCTTCGGCTTCCTCTTCTTCACAGAGTCTGAGGACATGACTGAAAAACTAAAGAGATTACAATGAGCATGAATCAAATCACAAGCAATGATTTGCTCTAAACTGAAACTACAATCTCCTGGAATAAAAAATATGCTTTCATATATCACTACTACAATATTTCATAATAAAGTCGAGGAAGGGAAAATTAAGAGTTTATTTCTAAATCACTTATTATTTTCACACAGACTATTTTACGTAATTGTTATTTATATCTACTTCATTGTTGTTATTGCTATAAAATAGTTTTCAGTAACTGAAATAAAATAAACAAATAAATTAAAGATAAATAGAACAAAAATAAAAACAGACAACAGCACGTAGTAACGTTAAATAAGTAAAACTTTATAAATGTATATAATTAATACTAAAATGACTCATCTGGTTTGATCTGGTAAAAACACCTGGTTTAAATATCGTGTATCATACGTTTCTTTATTATGTTTAGAAAATGATATCATGTATTCATGGCTAGTTCAGTAAACTATGCTATCAGGTTAACGTTAGCTTCTTGATGAAGTAACGTTAACAGCAGATCCATTTAAACGCGCGAAATGTATCGTGTTGTGTTTAAATTAGACTCACCGATAACTCTGGAAGCATAAAATCTCACCTTTCAATTGCTATTATCCAATTTAAGTATGTAAAAACTTAATTATTAAATTGTGTCATTCAAAAAGCAAGAAAACGCAGGCTGGATGCGGGAGGAAACGGGGGACAGTACTAGTTCCGCTGCTGGATTACATAATAAAAGATCTCTATATTAGGCAAAAAGGTCCGAGCGATACATATTTATTCTTCATCAAATGAATGAAACCTAGAAAAAAAAAATCACATTTAATTTAATCGGCCGATTTACATTTAATTCATTTAAATTGTATTAATGCTGACTGTTTTTTTTTCTTTTCTCATATTGATTATATTACATAATGCGTTTAATACTATTTTAATTAACTTGAAATACATTATTTAAACTATGTAACACAAAACACAGTGTTATTTTTAATAAGGTAAAATCTAACATGTAAGACTGAGTTGTAATTTCTGCCTCTTCGCCACTGGACTTTTAATTTGGAATTAAAGCTGTCTTGAAGGAAACCGAAACCCACCTGTGAGGAAGTTGCTTGCGTTGACATAAATCAATATTTACAACTACATTTCAACCTGGTCAACGTTCAACGTCCCTACGCGCTAATTAAATGAACGTAATTAAAGGTAAGTGGTCGGTAAACTTTATATGATCAAATTATGATTATACGATTTAGTTCATGTGTCAAATATAGTGTTTATTATAGCCTACTTTATGCAGTTTTTAAGTGTGCTAGTATGTTATCAATAACATACTATTATTGTAATAATTGTGTTTGCCGCATTAAGTACGGTAAGAGCATTTTTCAATGTACAAAGTCAAACATTAAGAACACAGATAAGTACTACATACTAGCCTACATATGCTACAATGTTTAATATACAACTAGAGTACACTGGGACTGTATCTCATAATGCAAAGCACTCGACTTGACCTTATATTTACAGTGTTGGTGTAATGAATTACTAATCTAATTACTGTAATTTTTTTAATTACTTGTCCCTTGAAAAAGTAAATTAATCTATTACTATTTTTCTGTAACTGAATTACATTTACTTAATTAAATACTGAATAGGCTACAACAATTTTATATAACACAATAGTGGATTGAACATCAAAAGGCAATGTTAAAACATATGTTTATAATACAGCACTTTGGTCAGTTCAGGAATAATATATGCAATTGTATATTGTTTCTTTGAAATAATTAAAAGAGCAGTGTCATGTCCATCCTTGTATTGTCTTGTTGAGGTTGATATTACTAATAAGTAATCCAATACTTTTTATAATTACCAATACAATACTAATTACTGTACAGTAATCTAATTACACTGTTGATACTAGTAGTGATACTGTTGATTACTAGTAATTAATTACTTTTTTTTAGTTTAATTACCCAACACTGGTTATAAATAAGCTGGAAGTAATTACAATGAATAATTTGACATGTTTTTTAACATATATATATATATATATATATATATATATATATATATTAGGCCTATTATTTAAGTATAATTTATTTCTATTTCAGTTTTTATTTATTTCCCGCTAGTAATTTTAGTGCTTCAATTTAAGCTTATTTCAGTCAATTGCCAAAGCAACATTTCTCCTTTTCATTTAATGTTTCTATTTTATACGTATATTATTTTATATTTTATTTAAAGACAGCATTCAGTAAGTAGTAAGTTAGCTTTCCATTCTGAATACATGCATAAAATGTTTTGCTTGGTTTTAATCCTCACAGGTGGTGTCTTCACTCCCGGTGCATTATGGGTCAGTGGAGGCCTGTGTCTAACCTGAGAGATGGGGTCTCTCGACACCCTCCTGTGGTCGTGTTCTTCCTCAGTCTGCTGATCATCTCCATAACTTTCGTCTGCACTGGACTTTACTCGCAGAATCACGACATCAAGAACCCTGACATCAGCGTGGTGAGTGTGACGATCACTGCCGAAATGTTTGTGTTCTTCTTCGCTGACTAACCCACACCATACGCTTGTGTTCTAGGACTGGAACGGGGTTCTGGGTGCTATTGCTGGTTTTCAGTTCTGCACACACGTGAACGACACAGATGCACCGCTGCAGGAAGACTCTCCCCGGATGGTGGAGCATGCAGATACGACAAATATTTCCACGAGCACTTCTCATGTTTCCTTACTGGTGCCGCTGGTGTTTACAGGGGACGTCCCAGATGAGACCGTCATTAGTGCCACAATGCTGGGCAGCCAGCTGGGCATCAAAGGTTTGTCTGTATGAGATTTTAATATAATTTACATAATATTACAGGTTATATATATATATATATATTTTTTTTTTTTTTTTGTGTGTGTGTGTGTGTTATTGTTAGTAATTTTGTTACGTGGTTTTGGCATTTTTATTATATATATGTATGTGTATATACATATAAATATATATATATATATATAAAAATATCGCACCCCAAAAAAAGGTTTGTGTTTATATAATATATGTGGGTGCACTGTATATAATTATTTTGTATAAATAAATTCACACACATGCATGTATATTTAAGAAAAAAATATTAATATAAATTATATATAAATATACATGAAAGTATTTCTTAAATATATACAAGCATGTGTGTGTTTATATATGAAGAGTTCAGATGCAAAAGCCTCTAAGTGCCATTTGAAATTTTCTTCTAGAATGATCATTTTTATCAAGCTTGTATATTTAAGTTCAGTGATTTCACTTAAATGGCAATGATAATCACCTATTAATTGTTATTTAAGTGAAATTACTGAACTTAAATATACAAGTTTGATAAAAATCATCATTAAAGAAGAAAATTTCAAATGGCATTTAGAGGCTTTTGCATCTGAACTCTTCATATATATATATATATATTTATATATATATATATATAATAGTTACAGTGCACCCACATATATAATGTAAACAAACGTTTATTTTGGATGCGATTAATCACGATTAATCATTTGACAGCCCTAATATATATATATATATATATATATATATATATACATATATATACATATTATATATATATATATATATATATATATATATATATATATATATATATATATATATTAGTGCTGTCAAATCAATGAATCGCATATAACATAAATTTGTAAATAAATGTGTGTATATATATATATATATATATATATATATATGCACACACACACACACATACAGTATATATACTATATATGTAAATATTAACAAACTTTTACGTTAGTTGTGATTTAATAACGATTAATCGTTATCACAACTTAACATAAAAAATTTTAATTAAAATAAACGACTGTGATTTAATTATATATATGTATACAATATATAGTGTGCAGGTGCTTTGTTGTCAGAAAAAACAGGAATCATGGACAACACCAGGTTTATTCTTCCCTATTTATTGGGAATAACTTATTAAAGCCAAAATGATATTTAGCATCCCATTCACTGACAACCATATAAACATTCACCGCTTGCTGACAATTCTAGAATTCCAGGTAAATGCAGGCTATTTTCACCGTGTATTAAATATGCGCTTCAAATGATTATTCATATATGTAAATATGCACTACTTTAATGACAAGACAAGGCGATGCTGCTGTTGTGGAAATGGAGCAGTGGATATGATACGACACATGCCTTTGGTGTGAGAGACCCGGGTTCGAATCCACTGTGAGACACCAATGTGTCCCTGAACAAGACACTTAACCCTTAGTTGCTCCAGAGGCGTGCGACCTTCGACATATTTAGCAATTCTAAGTCGCTTTGGATAAAAGCATCAGCTAAATGAATAAATGTAAAAGGAATAAAGAGCAATCGTTCTCCCGTCCCCATGTTTAGTGTGAATGGCCTGCCCAACTCTGAAACTTGGGGATCAGAATTATCCCTGCGATTCCCAGTGGTAAATACAACTTTAGAGGGCATTCATGTCCATTTTAAAGCTAGGAAACTCATATTTATGATAATTCCGATAGCATGTGAAGGCAGCATTAGACTTTCATGTTTTGTTCTTTAAATGTTGTGACTGTAATATAATATATTAAGACATTTTTTTAACTATTTTTTTTGTATATTGCTTTCTACTAATGCTAACATAACCTTTCGCATCACAGGGGCTGCAGCGAAAGCATCCGTGAACATTTCCCTGCTCCTCCGTACTGATGTTCCCAACAATCAAACTGCTGGACCGCGGAGCTGTCTTCACTTCACTGCCCTGACCCACGTTCTCCCTCACACTCCGTGAGACGCTTATACATATACACACAGCCCCTTCTTGTTGTGAATAAACATCCTGCAAGCTAATTTACTGATCTCTCAGGTCACCTCCAGAATGCCCAGTCGCGGAGGACGTGGATAAGAACGCTTCACCTGTCAGGAGGACGGTTGCTGTAGAATCAAACAAGCGCAATTCCCCGCATTGCTTTGGTCTGGAGTTCAAATCAGATCCACACCTGACGGTCCTGCTCACTAAGGTTGAAAACACAATGCAGTCGTTCAGAAACAGCTAAATATTGGTGGGGGATTCTTTCTGTGTGCTGATTCCACATCAAGTCCAGTCATTTTTATATAGCACTTTAACTATAAACACACTCTGACAAATGAAGGTTCTTTATTGGCATCGAATCACTTTTAAAAAAAAACTTTTGCTGATAATTTACTCACCCCCGTGTCATCCAAGATGTCCATGTCTTTCTTTCATCAGTGAAAAGAAATTAAGGTTTTTGATGGATTTTCTCCATATAATGGACTTCAATGGGGACCAAACGGTTCAAGGTCCAAATGAGAGTTTCAGTGCAGCTTCAAAGGGCTTTAAACGACACCAGACGATGAATAAGGGTCTTATCAAGCGAAACGATCACTCATTTAAAAAATAAATACAAAAGTTAAAGTTTTATAAGCACAAATGCTCGCCTTGCTCTGTTCTGTGATGCGCGTTCGTGACTCTCTGTTTATCAAAGTGAACAAATCTTTTTTCGTTGAATGAACCAAATGACTCGAAAAAAGATTTGTTCATTTTGATAAACGAGTTCGAACAGGAGAGTCACGAACGCGCATCACAGAACAGAGCAAGGCGAGCATTTGTACTTATAAAACTTGAATATTTTTTTTAATGACCGATCGTTTCGCTAGATTAGACTTATATTGGGAAACCAAAAAAAAAAAAAAACGTTTTCTTTGGAATTACTGCAAAAAATAAACTTTATTTTAGTCCTTTTCCCAATAGTTATTACAATAACTACTCTGAACCTACCCCTGTAGTTACCTTATACTACCCAGTACTTTATTAGGTAATCTTTACAGCTTTTAAATGGGAAAATAATGTTGTAAAATGAATCCATTATTAAACAAATTCTATTTCAACTGTAATGCAGCTCTACAGAAGACAAGTGTCATTATTCAGCTTAATTTAGCTTTAGTTTCAGTTCAATGAGCTTACCTCTCCACTTCTTTACTGTTTGCTTGCCAGGATGAAAAGGCCTTGTGCCGGTATCACCTGTTGCTGGTCAGTGTTGCTCTGCTGGTTGTCTGCATCCTCATGAGCCTCTGTGGAAGTTGCTCTTCACGTTCACGTTCTTACCAGAGGAGCGATCTTCAAAAGGTAGTGCCTACCGTAGAGCTCTCTAAACTTTAGTATCAAACTCTCTGATTTGCATGATTTTTATTGCATGAATTAACATGTTATACATAAAAGTGTTTAAACATGTATTCATAGGAATCACTGTTGAGCCCATGAGGAACATCTGCAGAACATCCACATTTGAGACTGAACCGGCCGTCAGAGCGCATGAAGAAATTAGCGTTTGGGTATTCAGCAGTTTTCCATTGCCAACATGTTGGTCCAAGAAATTGCAACCAGGTTGCTTGCAGTGCCATCCAAACAGATCTGGTCTACACGTGACTTTATTTCATGTTATAATAATAGAAGTAGAGTTAACAATCACAATCCAAAGAACATAACCTGAGACTTATGAGTATAAAATAACGGAAGTTAGAAAATCATAAGCTTTCTTTTGACATCACATTATATTAATTTAAATGCATTAAATATACATCATTTTGTTAATTTTTCTAAAAACAAAATGAATTAAAGTATTCCACTGTGTCCTGTCTGCTTGTGTAAATGGTGTCTGAACATTATTCAGTGGTGGTGCATTCAGTGTTCGGGACTTTTAATTCAAACTGCACACAAAACGCACTTATCGGTTGTGAACACGTCACAAAAACCACTCATTAGCTAGAAATTGGTGAAATTATCTTGAAATGAACACTAATTATTCACAAAGAAAGCAATGCATGACAGCAAAACATCGTCTGATAGAGTTATATCATAATTTGGCTAAATGTGACATTACGGCCTGGTTCCACAGACAGGGCTTAGATAAAAATAAAAAATAAAACATATTAAGGGATTAAATACATATTCCCAGTGGTAAATACAACTTTAGAGGGCATTCATGTCCATTTTAAAGCTAGGAAACTCATATTTATGATAATTCCGATTGCATGTGAAGGCAGCTTTAGACTTTCATATGTTTTGTTCTTTAAATGTTGTGACTGTAATATTAAATGTTGTGACTGACTGTAAAGCAATGCATGACAGCAAAACACAGTCTGATAGAGTTATATCATAATTTGGCTAAATGTGACATTACGGCCTGGTTCCACAGACAGGGCTTAGATTAAAAAAAAACATATTAAGGGATTAAATGCATATTAAGACAAAACAATGGCATTGACATAAGATAAGTCAGTGCAAGTTTCTATCAGCTAAAACCGCTCAAATATGCATTTTAGTCTGGGATTAGCTTAAACCATATCTGTAAAAATGATCATTAATATGATCATAGGCATATTAATGTTAAAAACTGTACCTTTAAATATAATACTAAAAGGTTATAGCCTTTATATACATATCTATGGTTATAGCTATCCATTTTATTTTGTAAATACGAAAAAAAAAATCACAAAATTACAACACGACGCATTCTCCAAGCCCCGCCCACATAGACTCATTATCCAATCCAAACATTTAAAAGTAAGAGAGCGTTTTCTTATTGGCTAAAAAGCTCTTATTGGCTAAAAAGTGTTAAAACAAAAGCCTTTTTTCTCCTTTCTGCGGTTTACAGAAAGATTCGATCTGTCAGAAACAAGGAGGCGTGATTTCTTATCCATTTAAGCGTAAAACACATTAAAAAGCAATGAATACAGCGCTTTGAAATCAATATGAAGAGATCAAACAGCTTGTTTTATGTTCAGAAAACACGGCAGACATTTTGTCCCCTTCGTCCATTACATACAACGTTCATCCCCTAACCATTGGCTAAAAAGTCTACACGTTTTACACCTTTAAATAGAAAGATATACGTTACGCATTAGGAAAATCAACGTATCTGACCAATCGCGACTGAATTCATGCTAACCTGTATTTTAATATCACATAAAAGCTTTCTTATCATTATTACCTTTTATATGATTTTAAAACCAATCGCAGTAGACCAGCTTATCGATTAGTCGTGTTGTGCTTTAGCACGATTCCCTCCCCGCGTTTTTCCACACCACATTCCTTCATGGACCAGCACACTTACTTCCTGCTTCACGTTGACTGACAGCGACCTCAACTAATCAGACGCGTCTAATGAGCCAGCGGGTAATGTGATTGGCTGAGCGCGGCGAGGAGGGCGGGGCAAGCTGTCTCGGTGCTCGTGTGTGTTGTTCGAGGGAAAACGCTTGCTGGAGCGATTCGAGGCCTTGCATCTACTTTCTATGAACAAAAAAGGAATAAACACGTTTTGTTTCGTAGTTGTCCTCATGCAGCCGGCAGAAATCGTTGGATAAAAACAAACGGAGTTCGCGGAGTGGTTAAATGGTTTGCATTATTGAACTCACATTTACTGCTTGTGTTACTGTAACGTTACAAAGGCTGTTGGTTTGGTAAATGTAGACGGTAGTGTCTGGGCAGGCCGCAGTTATCTGACCAGTTCTTCTGTGCATGCTTTATTGCGTGAGGCAGGAGTTAAATGTGATGGATTTAGATGGTGATTTGAGTGTTTGGCGAAGGAAAGTGTTAGCCTTTGAGTCTCTGCATTTGCATGGATCTCATGGGCCCGGGCAGCATGGGATGGCCTCGCGTGTGTTTCTGTGAATTTAATCGGTTCAAGGACGCAGTAAAAAACCCCACTCATGAGCTCACCTGTCTGGGTCATTATTTAGCCCAGGAGGGGGAAATGTGCATTGTGCATTATCATTTTATATAGCAAAAGTCTGTAAAGGTTCAATAAATGCATTATGCATGCTGTTTCGGTAACGTTACATAGTTTCCTGTTAATATTAATTTGCAAAAAAAGTTAAACCTTTAATATGACTTGGTGGAAAAAGCACACAGAATGGCACATGCTATAGTTTTCAGCGTCTTCAACATGTACTAATACTTCTCAAATTTTAGGTTATTCCTGCAATAAGGTACTTGACTATTTTTGCAGTATGCATACATTTGGCAGAATGCAGTATACCACATAACACTGCATAATCCCATACAAATGCATTGCAAATATATCGTCATCCTACAATCAAGCCATTTTCAGTTGAAATTGAACTAAAAATGCAATCTAACATTAATTTCCAAAAAAAATAATGAGAAAGAATTACACTACTGTTTGAAATGTTTGTATTGTTGCATATTGCCCATTTTCACTAATTAAAAAAAGTTGAAATCCCATAGATCCCCGTAAACGGTGTTAATGTCCGAGTTTGCAAACGGGTGATATCACAGTTTTGCGTTGGGTCTATGGCTAGTTTGTCCTGACATGCTTGGTTTTGTTTGTTTTCCAGGTGTTGAACAATCACACATGATTCTCCTGAAATGGGAAGAATGTAGAGACGAGACGTGAATACAATCAGCTAGTTTTCTTTTTTTTTAATTTGTTTTATTTTGAGACGATGGCCTACCCAAGTTATAGCTCACTAAACCGAGCTCAGCTCACCTTTGAATATCTGCACACAAACTCGTAAGTACCAATTTGAGTTACTGTTACACATTTTCAGGCAAGCAACAAAACAAAAAGCTGACATGAAACCTCGTTTTCCATCGGACTGCTAAAAGCTTGTGCGCCCTGACTCAATCAGCCAATCAGATTGGAACTTGTGGAAGTCATTTTTGTGTGCCGACATGCATTGCACTTTCAGTCATTTACTGATTCAGTGAAAGTTACTGCAGCATTGATGAGCAAAGTAATGCGCCCATTAATAATGGGATGTATGTTTTTGTGAATAGGAGGCCAAAGAACAATTTTGAATGAATTATTTTTATATTTTGACACATAATTGGGTATTTATCACCATAAAGGACAAAAGTAACAGTGGCCGTGAAAAAGGTCATTTCTTCTGTTGTTGATCGATTGTATTATTGCCAACAGGACGACCCACGAGTTTCTTTTTGGAGCTTTGGCTGAACTCGTGGACAACTCAAGGTACAAACACAATTTTGTTTTTAAAAATAAATATTTCTGATACTAAGGCGCTGTTAAATTGTGTTTCGGTCAATCGGATCACAAGTGGACGACGGTAAATACAGTTGTTATGTTTTGAGCTTGTCCACTTTCGGCACTTCCGGCGGTAGTCAAACACATTCGGCCGGATTGCTTTCGTAGTGTAAACGCTCATGTGATCGAATGTGTTCAAACAGACACAGAAGTCCGTCTCCTGATCTAATGAGTAACGTTATGAGAAGAGCTCCAGCCAGACGAGGTTTAAACGCGAATAAAAATGTACCAATCACAATGTTCTCTCTCCATTCCTGATCTCTAACACACACTCACAGCGTTCTGAGTGTGTGTCTGTCAGAGCAGAAACTAAAGCTGATGCTCTCCGTGTGTTTTCTGTCATCTCCGGTCACGTTTATATGTAAATTACACGAGATTATTTCGTCAATTAGATCGAAAAATCTGAGAAAAAAAAAAGTAATTTTCTCTCTCGAAGAAGAAATCAGGACAGAAGTGTTTGAAAGTGGACTAAAGAGACGGATTGTAAACGGACTCGACTACTTGTGATCCGATCGACCAAAACACATCTTAAAGGGGTCATGAACTGGCTTTTTAATTTTATTATATTGTTGTCTGAGGTCAACTTATGCATTTGCATTCAAAAACATCCAAATGAATAAGTAATCGGCTATTTTCTACCAAGTTGTGAGTCTAGCTGGAAAACGCTGGGTTTTTATGGGCATCTCTCACTGAAGACTAGGGAGTAAACGCCCACTGCTGTGAGTGGAGAACAGTTTTGCATATTATAATGAGTTTCAACTCACCCGTCGGTTCACAAGTTGTAAAATGGCAACCGGAATGATTCGCCCATACATGTTTGACCCAGAGTCCGTGTGTTGCACCATTCCTGTCAGATCCAATATAGACGGCACAGCACCGTTCTTTACTCTTAATCGCTCTGCAAATCCAGTCCTGTTTACAAAACAATCCGAACAGACGGACAATGTTTTACCTCATCAGCTGGAACGTCATTAAAGGGTTAGTTCACCCAAAAATGAAAATTGTGTCAGTATTTCCTCGCCCTCATGTTGTTCAACCCCGTAAGACCTTCGTTCATCTTCGCAACACAAATTAAGATATTTAAGATATTAAGATCGCTCCTGCATACTAGTCCATAGGCTTCTTGAGGGAATGACACTCGAAAAGTCATTAAAGACATCGTTAAAATAGTCCAAGTGACTACAGGGGCTCAATCTTAACTTTATCAAACGACGAGAACACTTTTTGTGCGCCAAAACAAACAAAAATAACGACTTTATTCCAACTATTGGTTTATTTCTCCCTCTGCGCGAGTCAGGTTACTAGTTTAATAGCGTAAGCTTCTGTTATTGTACGTCACACGCATCACACACATGACCAGCGTCGGCCAATAGTGAGCCTTCGTGTGACGTAGCTTTACGCAATCGCACTACGCTAACTGACTACAGGCCCATGGAGAAGGAAGTGAATAGTTGAAATAAAGTCGTTATTTTTATTTGTTTTTGTGCACAAAAAGTGTTCTTGTCGTTTGATAAAGTTAAGATTGAG